GCTCCGATTGCACAATACTTAGATTTCCTGTTTGCATTTTCCTTTCGGCAAACAATTTTTTCAGAGTTCCTATAAAGCGATGCGGTCACATTCAGATTCTGAATTTGCAAATGCGATGTTTTGTGGTTTTAATTCCATTATAGGTTCTCCGGACATGAATAAGATTTCTGTTACAGGCCCGAAATTTGGTCATGAAAAGACACTGAAGAAATAATACATTGCGCAATTACTGCATTTAACATCAGCAACTTGTTGGCCACATATTTATTATTACATGTAGGGGGTCTTGCAAAAAGATTCGCCTGCTTCCAAATGATGTCACATTTTGACGAATTCCAAATGATGTACGCACATTTTTTAAACTGAACGTTTTTTATTCAGAATTTGAATGCACAGACTTACCACCTGTCTCTGCTGTTGTGACATTACAAACACTATGCATATGCATTTTTTTTATTTCAAAGTTTATTCAAAACCTGACTGCTCGCTCGAGATGAAGAATTCTAAGGGGGAAATAAGGTACAGTAAATGTCAACAAAAGACTTTAGAAAACAATCATTATGTTGATAGCATAAGTATACAGACCAATGAAGTCAATATTTGATGGAAGCACCTTTAGAAACAATTCTAGCCTCAAGCAGTTTTTTAAGCTCTACCAACTTTGTACTCCAGCCTTGTGCGCATTTTACCTGTTCTTCTTGACGGATATTCTCAATCTCTCTCAGGTTGCTTGGAAATTTTGTATAGACAGCAATGTTTAAGTCTTTCCATAGAACTGTAGTATGAGCCTTACAAAAACATGAGAAACGTAAGCCACTCCAGTGTACCTTTGACCTTGTCCTTTGGGTTATTGTCCTTCTGGAAGGTGAATTTTTGTCTCAGTTTTAGAAGCACGTTTCACATTTTCCTCTAGATTTGCCTGTACTTGGCTCTATCTTCTATATATCCCCATCAATCCTGACAATCCCCCAGTCCCTGCAGAACTATAGTATAACATACTGCTGCCACCACCATGCTTGACAGTAGGGAAGGTGTTGACTGAATGATGCACTATGTTGGGTTTGCGCCAGTTCCAATTTTGTGCTACAAAACCTTTTGCCATATGTTCGCATTAGCACGTAAATATTAGAAAAGGTTTCCTTCCTCAAATATTTAAATTTTAATTCAGAGGATATTTCAGTACTCTCCGAGGGCCCTAATTGAAACATTCAAAATCTCTAAACTCCAGTTTTTCATTTCTTTGGTTAGGATTGTAATAGTTTAAAGCATATCATTTAGACCAAAGGAAGAGTTTTAAACACATTAGTAAGGCCTCATTTACAATATTGTGTAGATCGTGATCACTACTTAACAGAAAAGAGCAAGCAGATATATTCCAGGCTGGAGGAACTGAACTTTTTTTATTCTTGAAGAGAGAAAAAAATGAGGGGACCTCTTACAAGTATTCAAAATCCTCAGAGGCACTGACAAAAACAACCTAGTGAAATTCTTCAGCATTTAAACAAAACTGGAGTGTGCCGTATAAAAATGGAAAGAGGAAGGCTTTTTTACTCTAATGGCTGTGGGAGTATGGAGCAGCCACCCCAGCCATATTTTCTAAGGTGATACACAGGCTTCCTTAAATTAGCACCTTAATGAAATCCTCAGATTAATTAGCAATCCACCAAACGGCTACATTTAACTTGCTCCAGCTCCCCTGCGACCCTGTATTTGTTAATGTGGTTAGATTCATGCACTGGTAAAATTTCCTTTCTGGATTTAAGGATTACAATGTTTTTCAATTTTGCTTGGGCGTGCTTAATGGCACCACAAATAGTGTTATTTCGCAGAAAGGTTTGGGAGGAGGCCACGTTCGCTCTTGCACTTCTCTGCTCTCCTGCGTAAAAATACTCCATGGCTGCCCACAACTCTGTTCTAGAACCCCTCCCTCCACCCCACCTCTTCACTCTTACAGTCACCTCCCTGGTACATTCCTTACAGGTGAGGGGGGTTGTGACAGCTTTGACCTTTTGCCAGTGTTGTCATTTCCCCAGCCAGACAAGTTCATTGAGAGTACCCAACTTGTATATACAATGGCTGTCAAAAGTATTCACACCCCTTGTACTTCTTCACATTTAACTGTGTTGCAATATAAAATCACAATGTCTTTTTTTCCAGGGTGGGGGTTGCCATTGATCGACACAAAACAGTTTATAATGTCAAAGTAAAAACAAAATTCTACAGATCTTCCTAAATTAATTCATTAATATTAATATAAAACAGAAAATAAGTGATGGCATAAATATTCATCCCCTTTCCTAAAATGCACCTACATAGGCTCTGGTGCAACCAAATGTCTTTAGAAGTCACATTATTTGTTGAATGATGAATGTTGGAGTCCACCTGTGTGCAATTAGGGTTCAATTCAGGATACATATACATATCTCTCGGAGGTCCCACAGTTGTTTGGTACAGCTCCCAACAAAAACTACATCGTGAAGACAAAGAAACTTTCAAGGTAAATCCAGGACAGGGTTATTGAAAAGCACAAATTAGGGAAAGGGTAAAGGAAAATTTCCAAGACATTACCTAAAGTATCTCCCAAAGCACAGCAAAGTCTATTATAATGAAATGTAGAAGCTGTGGAACTGTGAAACAGGGTGTCTTCAGAAAATAAGTATCCAGACAAGAAGAGCACTGGTCAGGGAGGCCTGTGACAACTAGAATAATTACAGTCCTCCATGGATGAGATGAGAGAAACTGTGGATAACCATAGGAGACTGCATGTGGGAGACTATGAGTCCAAGTGGAAGAAGATTCTATGATCTGACAAGACCAAAATTGACCTTTATGGCCTTTATGTTTAGCACGAGCATATCAGTGAACTGCATCCTGAGAACACCATCCACTGTGACGCATGGCGGTGGCAGGATCATGACATGGGGAAGCTTCATGGCATCAGGGACTTGTGAAGACAAAAGGAAAAATAGGTACAGCAAAGTACAGAGAAATCCTGGAGGAAAACCTGTCGTCTGCAAGAGACATGAGACTTGGGAGAAGATTCATCTTCCAGCAGGACAATGACCCAAAACATATAGCCAAAGCCACACTGGAGTGGTTTTAAAAAGAAAGAAGTCACATTTCTACAGTGGCCCACTCAAATCCCGAACCTCAATCTAATGAAGCCTCTGTGGCAGGACCAACTTTTCCCATCCAACCTGGAATGGGCCACAATTGCGGTCTCGAAACGTGCAAAGGTGGTAGAAACTTCTCCAAAACCTATGGTTGCAATTTCTGTCAAAATGTGCCTCTACAAAATGTTGAGGTGTGAATAGGGTGTGAATACTTATGCTATCAGTTATTTTCTGTTTTATATTTATAATTAATTTAGAAGCATCTGTACAATTTTGTTTTCACATTGACATTATAAATTGTTTTCTGTCAACCAATTGCGAAAACTGCCAGTTTCTGCCAATACAGTACATTATGAATCCATATTATAACACAAAAAAATGTAAACAAGTCCAAGGGGGGTAAATGCTTTTGATAGCCACTGTACAAAGGCCTGGTGGCTCACGTTTACTCTTACAATGAAGTTGCGATGTAAGTCACAGTATTGCCGAATTGTGGTGCATGTAAGAGCAGGTGCTCCATATGTGTTTTTACTCTTTCTTTCTGGAAATTAATTTGAAAAAACCTCAGCCATGACAATGACGCAGAGAACGTTCATTTTCCATTCTATGGCTTCAGAAGTAATTGGCCCCCAGATGATTCTTTTATTTAAAATCAAATTGGTCCTCTTGAAGACTGAGCGATTGTCAGTTTTCTTTAACCTTCTATCCGAGCGCCAGACCAGTTGGGTGAGCCAGTCTAATTTCAAAAGTTTAAACTACTGCACCGATTCAAATGGTAGGTGCATTAAAAAAATAAACTCATTAATATGGCTCCCCAGATTGATTCAGCAAACCATTACATTTTCTTTTAGAAAAGCATTCTCTGAAATATATATAAATGATACTGACATAAAGACAGATAATGGTTCTTAAAACAGTTCTGCAGTGCCCCTTACGTAAAATCAGTACTTACACATTTGGCTACTTTCATCCTCAGCAACATACATCTGCTCTTATTTATATAGCTAAATATTTGACTGCAACAATTTGGGTGATGTACTGTGCTCAAGAGCACAACAGCAATATCTCACCTGGGATTTGAACCCACACCCTCCCACTGACAAGCCCAGAACCCTAACCACTGCTCCCCTGTGTAGCATTTGTGGTGATGATCATGTTTTCTGTATGTTGGCACCACATTTTCAAAAATGCATAACACGCAATTCTGCAAACTTTACTTTCCCTCTTCATCCAACTTTCTTTCCAGTTCCCCTTTGTTCCATCATTGAAATTTCAGATTAACTCAGCATATTGGCATGCATGTTGTCAGTGAGCTCTGTATCACACTGACACAATAAGATATGAAATGACAAGTTACTGAATCCAGTACAGTGTAATGAATAGCCAATAGCCAATGCCCAGGGCTTCAACCACACTTACAGAGCAGTTTTCATGCAGCCCAGTAGCAACCACATGGAAAATGGATCAGACAAAGAACCAGGTCAAGTTCCACAGTGAGGTTATAGGATGTTCATCAAACATCAGTGTTACTATCCTGGTCCAGTAGTACCGCTCCGAGATCAAAGCTAGTGGTGCACTACACTGTTTCACACCTCTTGGGAAATCCCTGGGTTTGCATGAATAATCTGGGAATTATATCCTTGGAATAAGGGTGGTATTCAATGCCTTGGGATTCCCTAGGAGTGCCTAAGTTCAACCTCGGTGGAGGAGGCTGCTACCATCAACAACAGTACATTCCAAGAAATAAAAAATATGCAGCTCAAGTCGGCTACAGCTATTTTGTTTCATGTAGTTTTGACACGGTTTACCTGTAGGGTGGAGATAAACGACCCGAAATCACTTATTGGCACAAAATAGCACAAGAAATGGAACACAAATGTCAAGGCGTGAGTAAGGAAGAACCTTTTATTGCTCTATCAACAGAGAAAGAGAAGTCACCTCCATCAGATCCTGTTCCCATTCGACAGTTCTTGGAAAGAGCAGAACTTAACACTCCACTGTGGTTATTTTAATCAGCCATACCACTCCCTATTAGGGGAATCAAGCTTTTCTACGCTGTAAAACCATGTGTGTGAGTGGGCATGTGCCCGGGGGGATCACAGCCTGCAGTATTTGGATAAACCGCTCATTCAAACACAATGAAAAATGGTGCTTCACACTGCGCCCTGTGTAGTCACAACACAGCAGAAAGGTGCATTATGGTCCGGGGTAAATGACCAAAGTTCACATGTGGTCAGTACAGGAATTACACATTTCTAAGGGATGGTTCCTTCTGTTAATCATCTTCTCCTTTCCTTGTTTAAAAAACCGGATGAACACAGTTCTTTTCCGTGCTTCTGGGAGGTGATGCCAGAGACTACAAAGAGAAAGGAAGAACGCACTAATGACATATTTCTTGAAAAGTTCAGGAACACAATGTAACAGTGAATCACAGTTCAAAGCGCAGATTTTCCACCAGAATCCTCAGACTTTTCAGTGCAATGCTGCTGATAATACTTCAGATTAAGTGGAAAACGTCTTGGATTCAGTTTTACAGAGCTCACAGAAGTGTCAGATTCAAAGTGTTTAACTCAATCTTTTTGTGTTCTGACCAAGCTCTCAGCTACATTATCGAACCATAACTTGACCCAATCACAAGGCAAATTAATACTCTTTAACTGTGCCCAGTTCCTAAACATGTTAAAAGCGGTCTTTAAACTACTGCGTTTTGAAAGTTACATAAAATTTCAACATCTGATTAGGAAAAAAAAACAATCAAGCAGCTTGTTGGTTCAATTAAGAGCTCAATAAAGTAAACAGCATGGTTAGAACGATCCCCAGTAGGTGTGTGGGTTCCCAGAATGTTGCCTGAAAACCGATTTAGTTTAACTGCATTGGAGGTCAACTGCACTCAAATTTGATCTGAAATGGCCATCCGAGCAGGTTACTTACACATCCTAACACATCTTACTGGGTAAGCTACAAGCAAGCAGAAGCCGATTTAACAGAAGGGTTCCTGCTTCAGCAGTTAATCAGTTTGGGCTGTGCATCTTGGTGTACCCTAGGGGGTTAATCATTTGGGAGGAAATAGGCTTGAACAAACCGGAGTGAAAAAAAACCCACACTACTTTAAAAATAGGAATTTTCGGCATGGGTGATGAGGGGCTGCTTTCTAAGTAAACTTAGTTAAGACTGAGTGCCTCTCGCTAAGGGAATTCCCCCGACGTCTTAAGGTCTACCCTCTGAAAAAACAAGACTTGTCAGCCCAGAAACCTGCAATAATAATGATTAAATACGCAATTTGCCTCACTTACGCATGGAAATGACTGTCCTGTAAGGCATCTGCGTTGAGCAAATTCGAGTTTGATTCAAACGAAGCCAGTTACGTCGACTTGTTCTCCTGTTAAGGACGGGGATCACCGGGGCTTTGCCATTACTCATACGCAGAAATATTTCAGATGTTTGCGAGCTACGCATTCATTTAATATTTCCTCTTGCCAGGCCGTCTCTCGGCTAGGGAAGGAATCTCAAACTTACACAACTATAGAGGGTTCCCTCCGTGCTACTGATAATACATCAGCACAGTCTTAATGTAAACAGGATTATATGGGCCTAATAATAGGGCAGATTAGCAAGAATGCGTAGTAAAATAGATGAATAGTAAAATAGATCCGTTTTTGATTATTTTCTTTTAATGCGATGTTGAAAAGTCCTCCGACTTCAGTTCATTCACGCCAAGAGATTTGTCATAAAAAACTACACAGAACCACCGAGCAATCCATTTTTATATAAAAAGCATGCCGTTTGTTTTCTGCAACAACACAATGTCGATGCTTATTTACCTGAGACGTTCTTCTGTAGTCTGGCTCACCCACGCAACCACCTCGTTAAAAGTAACCGATTTTCGGCCCCTAGTTCTGGGCCAAAACAGCAAAGACAAGTGATACTAACGGAGATCGAGCCTCCAGTAGCACATCTACCGCTTCCGATAGTCACAGCTCACCCTGCTCATTGTTATTACCGTTTGTGCATCTAAAAAAAATAAACGTATGGCACAAAACACGGGAGTATAAGAAAGAAGCAATTGGCAAAAAACAAAACACCACAGAATCGGCGTGCATTAATTGTAGTAAAGAGATGTAACTAGTTCAAATGAAAGGACACGCTGTCGCTAAAAATACCTGTCTACGACTATATTTGGCTTGGCTGGATCACAATCAAATTTCTAAAATAAACGGACCCGCCCCGGCACAATGAATGGGATCTCTGCTATCTCACACCGCCGGATCGGCCCGTCGCTAATTTTAGTAACAGAGCTTGCGTCAATCACGCGCCTCAGTGCGTCAAGCCTTCGCCCCGCCTTCGGTGGCACCTTATTGGTCAGAGGGTGTGCACGGCCAGGAAACCACGCGCTCTGTGATTGGCTGACTCTGACCCGGATTTAAGCAACCTCATTTATTATTCTGTTTAACGTCGCTGCTGGGGTGTATTTTTTCCGGCAGGGTTGTAACATGTTCTGCACCTTGAAACGCGCATCTCAGCGCTGTATAATCTGTTAATTATAAAACTATTTTCAATTTTAAGGCGTATTGTGACTTTTCATAAGCCATTTTTGCTGTTCCGCAGCGCATATGACACACACATCTCGATCTCAATTTAAATGGCATAGTTCAGAAATCAATTTCTTTTGTTTAATAGCTTATTTGTTTTACTGGTTCAACAGCTGGATCCTGTGTCCTGGGTGAGGGCAGGAATTTGCTATTTCTAGCTTAAGAACCCAAAGCAGTGTTTGTTTTATAGTTCTAGCTGTTTACTTGAAGAAGATGTATGGCTGAGACACCCTTGAAGTGTACACAGCAATGAATAAAGCCCTCGAAACAACGTTTTTTACAAGTTGAAGGGGGGAGGACTTATGAGGCGAGTTGTTTCTTAACTATGGTTAACTGGATCATGTACAGTGCATGTGATGCATGTCATAGGTGGACAGAATCGGTACTCAGCAGGTTAAATCAGGTGTTTAGATTTCACTGTGTGCATAGATGTCTGCCCCATCATATAGCAACCCTATTTGTTTGCTCTTTGTCGAAACGAAAGATGTCTTTTGTAACGTGCTTCTTCTGACAACACCCTAAAATGTTCGCGGGGGCAAAATGGTATTACACGCTATGGACAATGACCGTTTTACTGCCCACTGCAGGCGATCTGGGGCGAGTACATTTCCTCTCTCCTACTGACACCTGTCTGTGCGGGCTAGTTCAGCCCCAGTCCCTTTCAGACTACTAGACTATTCAAAACGCAGCCCGATTGTCCCCCGAAGTCACATATCTTGACCCGGTCATTTCCCAGAAAGCTCCTTTACTAACGGCTCCTACAAACTAGAGCCTACATAACCATTGAACATGAACGGCGCGATATGAAACAAGGTTATTACGATTCCAAACAAACGGGGCGGATCGTGACATTGTATACAAAGATAAAGTTTTATGGATAATGTGATAAGTTATCGTTTATTGGGAATTTCCTTTCCTTTTCTAAAAAGCCCAGGTAAATGTGTCGGAAAAGGCTCGCTTGAATAGGGCCCAAGGTGACCTCCGTAGCACTGTCTCATCTTTCTGTCCGCTCAAGTTGGACAGCTAGCAAACACAGCCCAACACTTCATAAAAACCTGTAAAAGCTGCTGACTGTTTAAAGCCGACAAGAACTGGAGTTTGCGCGGCAAAAGAAGCAAAGGTCATAGTGACCTTCACAGGGCTTGGTTTGGGTCTTCTTTCAGAGAGCTACAAGACAAGCTATTGAGAATATCGGGGAGCAGTGGTGTTTCACTACTGGACACAATAATGAAACATTTTTACTGCACCGCGCAAAAGTAAAGCTCAGGTAACCTGGTCCCAAATACAGTATTGGTACACTTCGTTTTCGAAGGGATATTCTGATCTTGGTGATTGCTGAGTTTCCACCACGTAAGGCTTTTGTTCTAAGCTCTAGATCATATTCTGATGTAAGAGATAAAATCACAGCTGTACTAGGGTAAATCAACCATGTAAATATTCCAAACACGAGCGGTTGGACGCCTTCCCTTAGAAACGCAGATCCTTGAAATAATTATAATAGGAGCTAATATGAATTATAGGAATAATAGGAACTGTGGCTTCGTATTCCTCAAAGCGCAGCGGTGCCTCTGGGGAGCTGGTATACACACATAAAAAGGGGTAGAATCTATATATAATGATATGTACATTCAGTTCCACATAGGTATACATATACTGTATAAAGACGGTACAAAAACAAATTGATGTACGATTCTTAATAAACGTATGTTTTAACCAAATGTGAGAACACTGCCCCCAAGATGTTTTTTAAATAAAATAATATTGTTTACACTAACGTTTGACAGTGTCAGATGTCTTGAGAGCAACGACGCTAAGTACAATTATTATCAATAATTATAATGAACGGAGCTGTTATTTCTAGATTCCAATATTTGTTTTACTACAATTCGATTTCTTCACAAACCTTCACGATAAAAAGTCGTAAATAGGCGGAAAAATAGAATCATCAAAGCGCAGCCCCTGTCTCTTGATAGACTTGCAGTTTAAAATAACATTCAGAAAAAATAGGGAATTTTTACTCTACAGTCTAGGCTGAACAATCTGCTTAAATTCCTTTTCTCTAGTCAATTAATATTCTTTGAAAATCGGGTGACCATCCCTCAGTTTACAATTTCTATTTGCCAGTGAAATTACACCTGAAAAGTGTAAATTTGGTACGCAAGAATTTTGGTTCTGTTTAGACGAGGGTTGTTCACTGCAGATTAAAATGATTGCCTTCAAACACCTCAAATACAAGTACTTATCAAATTACTTTAAGACGTTATTTTATAAAACAGTAGGGGAAAAAAAAACAAGAAAAACTTAATGCTTTGCTAGATTCTTTTTTCTTTCATTTTCTCCTGCCGTTTCCACAGCTGATGGAGCCTAACGAGCAGGGGGAACGATAATGACAGCAATAATATCTGCGCATCACTTTCATGCTGGTGCTTAGTACAGAACGCGCTGAGAAAGAAAGCGTTGAATTACTCCTCCCTTTGCTTTTAGACACAGATTTGGTCCTTCAAACGGCAGACCAATGCAGGCCCTTCCCTGTCTTTTCTGGCACAGCCAGAGAGAGAGAGGGCTACTGTAACACAGAGATTCTGGGTTGAGACAGGGGAGCTACAGTAGTGACGTCACCTTTCCAATGACGTCACATTGACGTCTCGCATACCAGCCGCTCTATGTAGAAGGCAGACACACATAAATGAGCTATTAGACTTTCTCTCTCTCAGCTCTCCACATAAACAAAGACACATTGCAACTTCATCACAGCGCATCATCAGCATTAGCAACACGGACACGGGGGAAACCGGAGCGCACGGACCCACTGCTCATTTCAATGCAAAAGGAGTAATTACCCTTTACAGTTTCTAAAGAGAAAATAAAAACTTTGCTGTCACAGCCGCTACTGCTACAACAACTCTTACTTCAACTACTACTTCATTATTTCTTACAATGCTGGAAATCTACAGGACACTTTAAGGAGGTTAATATCACATGTAAAGACGGAACCGCTACAGCAAGCAAGTATGTATGAATGTGTGTTCTTATGGACTTCATAAAAGTTTAGATGGGTATGCTATGGGGGAACGAAACGAACAGAGCTGTTGTTTTAATTTTTTTAATATTTCATTCTATAATTTTCCTGACAAATGTAGCGTCGGTCTCGGTTTTGAAACTTTCTCGTGCGTGGGGATAGCTCAGCGACCTGTTGCATATGCTGTATGAGAAATCTTAGGACAGGGGGAACAGAATGAGGAGGCTGGGGAAGCTCGAGATGTAGCGGCGAGTGGAAGCGAACTCGGCGAGAAGAAAGGTATTCTTTCTGGTTGTCATGGAAATGGGATGCCGCTCAGCCTGGGCGGCGAAACAGATTCGCGAGAGTAGGAGACGCTCCGTAAACCAAGTCTGCTCTTCCCTTCTGTCTTATCGGCAAAGTTGACACACGCAACAAATAGCTATTCCGAAGACGCCTTCTTCTCTTTTTTTTTTTTGCTTTCTTTTAGTAGCAGTTTGGGGTGTTTTTTTTTTTGTTGCTTAGAACGTGTGTGTAAATCCCTGCAAAAGCGCCGGGTGCTGGATTTGCTGATACCGGTAGTTCGCGCGAAGTAAAATCGCAAGGTCCAGACAGCAGACACTTTTTAACTTTTACACGTGTGCGCCGGGTGTGAAAGCGTGATGTTAATCAAGCGTAATGTATTACTTATAATAAAGGATAGCTTCACAACGTTTGGTTTATAGTGCGAAGCAGCTAATGAACTACTTCATAAAGGGTTTAGAAATTACTCACAGACGTAACAGGATCAAATGCGCTTGTAATGTCCAAGCTATATCAAAGTACTTTTATTTAATTTATATGGTGTAATAACCTGTGAAAAACATAAGAATATCTGTGCTGTACTAGATGTCAGTGATGGAAACTTTTCTACGGTGTTCACAGGGTCTCGCTCTTTCTTCGCTATTCGCAGCCCATACGGTGTAGCGAACAGCAGGTTTCATGCAATGTTCCGCGTTTCTGCTAAAGCATCTTTAATAGTAGGTCTCGCTGTTGTTCAAAAGTTGTGATGACGAGCAGTAATACTTTCAGTAGTTTTCTCGGTTACTACGTGCGATTGTTCCCAAGACAGAAAGCGTCTTTTAAAATAAATGACCTTCAAAATTATCCAGCATCGCTTTCGCATAAACTCGATTTTACATTTCACCTGATAAACAATCAGAAAAAAAAGTCTCAATAAAAGTCACTTCTGTCTCCCGTTAAAAGGTAGAATTGACGCAAAAGTATTTTGACAAGTGTCCTAACATCAAAGGTTAGATAGGTTAGTTAGTCCTAACATCAAGACTTGTGAAAAGGTAGACTTTACATGGATTGAGGCAGGAGGTTGTGTAACGCAATGAATGCCTCTTTGGTCGATCCAATATTTGATAATAAAATAGAAAAATAGCCTTTAACCTTTAGCTGTAGCTCCACTTTGAAAAGGCGCGATTGCTAGCTGTTGAACAGCATCACGGGCATTATTTCACACAGGCTAGTGAAACCGCACACACACACTCACAAAATGTGTGTTTACGCGCTCTATATTTTTTTCCCCCCAACAAGGGTTAGAGTAAATCAAATACATCATAGAAGAGAACAAGTTTAATTTTCATATTTCATTCTGACTTTATTATCAACGCCTTCAATTCTGCCGAGCAGCCAAGGCTCGGATAAAAGGGTCTTTGACAGGTTCCCTCAGCTAATTTACTGTACTTGAAGTTTTTTTTTTTCCTTCTTTCTTTCTTTATCTTTTTTTTTTGTCTTCATTTGCTTGCCAGCGAGGCTCTGGCTGTCTGGGTTATTGAAGTTGGGGGGCTCCTGCCTCTCACAAGGTGCGTGTTTAAAAGATCACTCGCGGTTCTCTAGGTAACCAGACCCACCGAGTCACCAGCCGCGGCAGAGCAGCGGCCGCTCGAGCTCTGCTCTCCAGCTCGGCGCGCCGGCTACAGGCGCGCGCGTGGGAGCGTCTCGCAGTCGAAAGCTTAGGCGCTGCTGGCGAAAACGACCAAACTTTTCTCTGTTACAATCATCACAACGAGCGGAGGCATATCTTTTTTTTTTTTTAATGCGAGTTGTATGGGATTTCGCAAAAATAAAATCCAAGTTTCAACTTGCAAAAAGACAGAGAGTGCTGTGGGATGCGTTAGGTGGTTCTGACTAATAGATAACTCCCGTGGCTAACATGGTGCGTGTTTTCGAGAGAAAGTGAGCGCAATGTGGTTTTAGGCAGCTTTAAGTCCCGGCCGTAAAAAAAAAAGTGAAAGGAAAGCTCCAGATACAGTTCCTGATTGAGACATATCCAGATTTCATCGTAATAAACTCAGATTGTTTTCGCTGGAGGGGGGATGAGAGTTTTATCTGGTCATTTTCTTTGTACTGGAAAAAATAAATTCTCAGTACGTCAATTTGCATTTTGTTTGGAAAAAAAAACATTTTTTCCAGCTTAAAATGTTGTATAGCACTTATTTGTATTCAGAAATCTGCTATTATTTAGAAACCCGTACAAATCTCATAGAAATCCGTCACTATCTGAAAGGCAAAAATAATAGAGACACCACACAAATGTCCGTTGTCATCATATCTGTCAGTGATGATTACAGTGGTTGAATATTTACAAGGTCTGTACAAATTCACGTTCGCCGTTGTTGAGGTGAGATTGGTTCGAAAACTTGTCTTTGGCGGAGAGGGGGCGCTAGACTCTGTAAAATAGGTATGAAAATATTTTACTGTGTTCGCAGGACTCAGTTGGATTTTGACAAAAACGCAGGTGAACATTTTCAGTACTGATGTTAAAAGTTTATTTTGTGCGTTGTCTAATAGTCAACAAGGAATAAGACTACTTTAAAATACTTACATTTACAATAAAATAGGTCTTTACGTTTGTATACTTATTTCCTTCCTTTACAAAACGATTATCCATTTATTTGTTTCCATTTCAAGTTCTGCTAATTTTGCCACTCAAAACTTTTTGGTACTTTGGCAGGCATAGTTTGATATGTGTAACGTTTCTTGGAGATAACGCTTTACTGTCTTTATTGGAGATACGATACATAGTTGTAGAGATTATTTTGATTTTTACCACCAGTTAAATGTTGGTTTGTGTGTCCATTCGTTCGTTTCTTAAACATCATTTCTTGCTGACAATTGTGAGAGTCTGGTCACATATGTGTTCTGTGTCCCACAGACTATGACTCGATCGTGTAGGACTTTTTTTTTTAGAGACTCTTTATTTTTATGTTTCCACACAACCTAAATTGTGTTTGTGTCAACCGCATAACTCAAGGCAATAAGCTAAACTTCACATGTTATCGTTTGTATTTTCAGTGACCCCGAATTGCCAAAATATAACTAGTGTTTCGTTCACATGTTTATGTTTATTTTTGTTAATTCTCCGCAACATACTGAACTTCATGATTAGAAATTGTTTGAAATTTCACGACGCTTTTACGATTTGAGTAATTATTAAAATCGATGGGGAAGGAAAGGTTTTCAAATACAAGAAAGAAATCCGACCCAAAATAAAAACAAAATTGCTCTGGAATAATTCTATTGTTGAGCCTGAGAACTGTTTTTTTTCGCATGTTGTATATATAAAGAATATACCAGTTGCATTTGTGTATTTTGATATTTTGAAATGTCCTCTTAAGAAAAAAAAACGAGCCTTTAAAGTTTTTTTTAATATGTGCAATAGCCTTCAGTTTTTTTTATAAACGCATTTACAATTATTTGTCAATAGTCCAGTTAACCTGTATTTTGGTTGTTATCGACTTTTTCGACCAGTTATCAGCTTACGATTTAGTCAGCCTTTTCTTGCTTATGTATATGGTTGGCTTCGACTGCTCATTTCCAGACCCCGGTTCGGAAGAGCGCCCCCAGCCGAGCCCCGGCTCCGAGACCCGGCCAACGGACAGTTCAACACCCGGAGAAGAGTCCGCTGAGCCAGCCTCTCCCCACCGGCTCGTCACTCCTCCGCCGAGAAAAACAACCACAATTCAGCAAGCAAAATCTCAACCAGGTAAGTCTCCTTGTGAAGGCTGTACTCGGCGTGCTGTTTGATGTCAGGGCTTGTTTCTTGCAAACGGTGATGCTCAAAGTCTTAGTTTGAGCACATTTAAATACTTTTGCAAGTAACTGTTGGAGAAGCATGAGTGAACATTAGAACAGCCTAATAATAATAATCGCATTTAGAAATCTAGCGGTTATTTTTATAGCAGTGTAAATTGAACATTTTTGACCTATAGGGGAGCAGTCATGCTAATCAAGGGCAAAGTGGAGCGAAATTCAAGACGTATTATTGAGGTTAAAATAAATACTAATGAACAAGCCACTTTAATCATACAACCGACATGTTTTTAGAAAAATATTAAAAAAAAATTAGATTTGGAAAGCATATATTTAATGACTCCCGAGTGTGTATTGTTTAGGGAGTGGAGTGGGGTGGGGCTTTTATTTCAATAAACCCCATCTTTAAAAGAGATGAAGACGAAATAAAGGTATATATTTTTTAATTGAATTAGTGCACAATAGCCAGTACAACTTTTAAAACAGGAGGGATAATATTGATGATACATTCCATTCCAACAAAGAATGTAGCAGGCACGCAGTTCGGTGATTTCACAAATGACCATTTTAAAAAGGGGGAGAGGGAGGAAGTGTGACAGACGATTTTGAAAATGTCAAGTGTGCCTGACTGGTCACGACGGGGTGCCGTGTCACACGTTCACCGAATCGCTTCAGGGCATTTGACCCGAGCGCCTCGGCGCAGGGTGCGGCTGTTCCATAGGCCGCAGCAGCAATATTTTGCCTTTTTTAAAGAAAAAAAAAATTATATGTACAATTTTAGAAATCAGGGTCTTAACCCAATCTGCGCTTGCGTCTAATCATTGGACGTGCACCGCACAGTGTGACAGTGTATCAGCTTAGCAAACAATTGCAGGTGTCTGTTTGCGTGCTTGCGTCTGCATAATTTCCCGCCTTATTTTGTAATTCATTCGTTTTTTTCCCATAAAATTATTTGACTAATTTGACTAAGTCTTTCTTTATATATTTATTTTTGCAATCCATCTTTTGTTTGTTAGATCAATGGCATTCTGACTATGAGCAAGCGTGCACAGTTATTGGAACGGCTGCATTTTATCCACCTAAAATGCACACCTCGAGGTCAGAGACTGTTTTAATTATCAGTTCCCTTCCCTGTGTCCCTTAACCACTGTGAAGCTTGTGACTAAAACATGACTTTTTCTATGGGGGTGTCTGTGTTTGTTTTAGTTCTGTTTTAACCTGATCGTCTGTGCACTCTCTTTCATTGATTGGCAGACTCTTCCTAGGAAGTGAATCAATAAGGGCAAATTCATCTTTATTTTATGTCTCATAGCATACAGTACCTTTTTTAGTCAGGAAAGGTGCCACAATGCCTAAATTAGATCATTGTTCAATCTTCAACAAAAGAAAATTAAGTTTGGTGCCTATCACAAATTCAGGGTGGGTCATGAATACCTCCCCTTACCCCAGACGAAGGAGTTTCATATGCTGTTGGCCCTGACCAAATTCTCCTCTGAAGCCAGATGCCGTATTTATAGTAATTACTTATATGCATCAGCACAGTGGCATTTCTGTAGGGTCCAATATTTAAAACAATATCTTTGTGAGGATTTTCTTATGTTCCAGTTTTTTTTTTAAATAGAAACTGATCAGAAAGTAAACTCTCTTCAGGGACGGGTGAGAGATAGGGGTATTTGGGACTTCCTGGTTTCTCATGTCTGGTTTGAAAGCAACTTGAATGGGGTCACTAGGGATGACGGGCAAGATGGAAGCCAGTGAGTTTGACATCATTTGTGTTGAAATATCATGTACAAGCTCTGTCACCGTGATGCACAAGCACAGAAAAGACCGCTGACACGCTCTGCCGCCACAGCTCTCCAGTGACATATCCGTGCAGCAATATGGGAAGCTGAATAACTGAATACAAATCTTCCAAAAAAAAAGTAATGTTTAGTTATACAGCGTTCTATATTTGAACTAAAAATAGTGTAAACTGAATCCTTCTCAGATTGCTCATCTGTATGTTGGCGATAATCACAGCCAACTGTAAATATAATAGATATATAATGGTTGTAGGAGAAATCACATACCAATTTAAACTGTAGCTAGTGTTTTTTTTTTCGATTTAGATTTTTTTTTGAAGGCAGTAGAAAATCATTATGAGATCTTTTCGTTGTTTTTTTTTTCTCCTAAATGTCAGAAACAACCCCTGGAGACGGTGGTAATGTGATAAAATTGGTGAAGCTCAGGCTGTTTAGTTATCAAGTGCAGTATCCGACGAAAAGCCATAGGGGAATTCTAGCTGCTCGTATCTTTTCCTGTGCTGGGGCTGTGACGGTCCACAGTCAGTGACATCACAGTGCTCCAGTGGAAAGAACAAGCTGGAGGCAGTGACACCTACATCACAGCTCCTGCACAGTTTTGAAGGTAGAATACACTGATCCATACTTTGAATAATTTAATTTAAAATCGTCCTTTTGAAAACAAACAGACCTCCCCTTTCTTTTCATGGTCTTGAACGAGACAGTTGAATTTGCTCAGAAAAGAGAGGAGAAAAAGGACACTTTTGGCGAAAACTGAACTTATGAATGAAGTTCCTCAGCGAGTGTTTCCTGTGTGGAAGGAAGTGCTGGTCAGTTGCGTAGACGCACACAGCCCAACCACGCAGTGAAGTCATCGACTCTTAATTTCTCCTACCCACCCTTTCCAGTGTGATCGTGGGGGGAGGGCTGAAGAAGGGGGCCGTGCTGTGTCGTGAGTTTCCTATAAGAAAGTTTGACTCATAAGGTATTTCGAAGCTCTGAAGCCTTACTTTTTGTTTGAATGATGAGTGTCTAAAAATGTTCTTCAGGGGCTTGGTTCATGTAAAGTAGTTTAAAGTATTGTGTATATTCTGTACGTGAAAACACCCCAAATAAATTCAGTTTCTGTTTGGAAATGTAGAATAGAGTATCAGGTATTTTGCTTGTATTTAAAAAAACTTCAGTAATGGATGATAAAAACCTGTCATGTTTTGGAGACACTATAGGATACAGGAGGGCTACATTTAGAGTGAAAATATGGTTCCAGCTGTCATCCACTGCTTTATTTTCACTACTTATATCCTGTTTACATTGCAATTCTTATAATACATTAACACAGCAACTATCGTCCTACTAAATCAGTATAGACTTCATATTTAAGTTAGTATTTCAGAGCTTGGTGCTGGGGTGAAACTGTAAAGCAGAGACATCTAATTTAAATATTTAAAAGGACAGAGTATTGAATGGTACAATGTTAAATATTTACTCTTACATGTTAAGGGAAGTATGATTGTATTATTAAAGACTGTGCTAAATAATTAAAATTAGGAAATAATGTATTCATATCAATTAAACTTTCCAAAGATATATGTTTACACAAAAGAATGTAGTGTTTTATGTTCAGTGTAGTTCTCCCAAGTACATAATTGTTTTGACATAATAATATAACATTAATATAAAAATTCATTCAAATGTCCCAACACTACTATTTACACAACCAACACCAACATTATCATTACACTGTTGGTATTACAGTATTTAATCTAACAGAGAACACCAGTTTACTAACCTGTCAAAGCAATACCTAACAAAATAAAAATGAAACGCCTTATTAAAAGAATATAATATTTCTTCCTAAACGATTTTCTATTGGTTTGAGATGGCTGGATTTAAGGGTGCTTTAGAAAATACAATTTTTCATTATTATTCGTTCTGCTGTCTAAGGGGAAATAAATATTTTGAAAAAGATCGGTAAATTATCTCTAATTGTCTTGCGGAATACCAAACGCAGAGAAAGTGAGAGAGAGAGAGAGAGCAAAAAAAACAGCATTTGAAATTTAAGAGAGTTTGTCGTCAGACGAAACCGCAACATTTAGGGAACAAATGATGTGGAGTCTGAGCGTCATTCGGGTTTTTTAAAAGCCTAACAATGGATGTCTTGGGGAGAAAGTAGCTGCTAAGTTTGTCGCACTTGGAAACTTCTCTCCTTTCCTGTGAGCGTACACAGTGGGTGTGTGTGCGCGCGTAGTCCGGCTTGTGCAGCGCGAGAGTCGCCTGAGGACAGCCGGCGCAGGAGCCGTTCATAATTGATACAGTCTCTTGATTTTACTAAACAAACATTACGTACCGGAATATTAGTGATTACGAAGACACCAGAGGAAAAAGCTGTTGAAGAAAAAAACGTCAATGGGACCTTTTCTTTGTTGACAGTTCCCTTCTAGAGAGCAAACATCATGACTTCTGTAAGCCTGCAAGCAGGAGTGATTACGCCGGTCTCTGCCTCCTATTATAAGTACAATAGGAGAAGTAAACACACACACATCACACGACCACGTTTTTCCCCTCTTTAATCTAAACAGCTAACACCACATCGCAGATAATTGTGTTATGCAACACCCGTGATATGGAGAAAGGCTTATTGCCCACAAACTTTTTAAATTATGCTTTTTGATGTGACCTTAAAGACAACCCCGTATTGTAGTCCAAGACAATACTATGTCTAGACGTTACACCATAGTTCTATCATAAAAGGTTAGTATCTAAAAAAAACATTTCTGCACCAAAAATTGTAATTTAATATTTATTTTTAAATTATGAATAGAATTTTGTTTATAACTTACAGTAAAGAAAAGTTGCACATAAAGTAGTTCATATGCATATTCCCTTTAAATATCAGTGTAAAATATGTTCCTTCTTTTCCTAGACATATTTTCTTTTGATTTTCGCTTATCTATTTGTTGTACCTAATATGATAACACGTTTCTAAAAATGTGAAGGGTCAACAGTGAAATTACCATGACAGTTCTACTTTAAGGAGAATTAACGTTTTTCATTTTAAAACATCCAAGTCATGTCATTTCTAGGGGTATGTTTTGAATCCCTAAAAAACAGATCATTTTTTATATTTTTTAAGTTTTGATATTGGGAGACCAATGTCCAGTGTTTCTACCTTTTTTGTTAAGATATAATTTAAAGTAACCTTATGCTCAGATAAAAGTATCAGGGAAATAAACATGATTATTTTCTTAAAAATCACCGAATGTAGACCTTTAAACACACGACTAAAGCCTAAATTCTTCTGTAACATCTCCTAAGCATTTGTAAAGTATATTTAGATTTGTATTGTAAAACATGTTCTGTTACTTTACTGCACTTAGAAAAATAGATGCCAATAACTGTTTTGTTTGCTAATTTGTCATGAGCTTGAATGTTAAACAGACTAAAATTACAACCAGTTTATTTGTAGAAATAGAGCTCCAAGGCAAATATTACAGGAATAACACTTCAATGTTTTCCGTGTAAGGTTTGTTGGTCACCTGTTTTAGTTGCCTCCCTTCTAAAAATATTCCAGACTTGGCCTCTTCATTTAGAAGTGAAAGTGTCTTCATCATCAAATACCAGAACTGTCAGAGCCATCTAATTTCAGTCTTACCTTTATGCAAAACTGCCTGTACTTTTGTGCAACAAACACATTTTTTTTTCTCTTCCCAATTCATCATTAATGCTTTCTCATGGTGAATTTGTCATCGTCCGCAGGGTAGCATTTTTGTTGGAAACCCATTTCCTGAAAGATCCTCTGGCCATTTCTAATTTCCTCATTTAAAATGTACGGTGAGGCACGGGCGAGTTTTGGAACCTGTGGCGTTTCTTGGGTTTTTAGTGCCTCTCGGAACAAGCCCAGAAACGATAGGATTGGGAACAGGAAAAAAACAACAACACACAAGGCGTTTTTGAAAATGAAGTTTTGCAGCATTGGCTTCTGCCGTAACGGGTCTTGAACCCATCTGAGGATTCCAGTTTTTTATGCTTTTGCGTGCCTTGTGTGTCGCAGGCCTTCATGGGGATAAATGGCTAATTTGTTCGTGGTAAGAATAAGAGTCTGGTCAGCCCCGGAGGATTGAGTATAACTAATGAGGCTCTGTGGGTTCGCCCTCCTCAATGTCTGTCCTCTCTGCTGTTGCACAGTAGAGCTGTGCACCCGCATTATTTTTAACTGAGAGCTTCTCTCTCCCTTGGCACAGCCTAATGCTTCACTGTCTGTAAGTTTCTTTGCTTCTTCATATATCTGTTTGTTTTTTGACCATGTAACTGCCTTTAAACTGGTCTTTTGTACATACTTTTACTTGTTTTTATTTTTGCTTTGCACCAGCGTGCCCATGCATATTAAACCGTAGCCATCTGCTTCTGTAGGTGATACACTCTGACTGCACTGGGTTTGTTATGAGGGCAAAAAAAAAAAAGCTTAGCAAAGATCTGTCGTGTCCGTCTTCTCATTCTGTTGTGCATCCTGGTACGTACAGTACTGTAACACAGCGCTTGGAGGTGGCATTCCCGAGAAATGCAGAAGTAACGTAGATTGCGATCATACAGACCGTGCATAACTGATGCCTAGCAACATTCAGACAGCTTGATGCAACATCTGTGTCAAGTAATCAGGGGAAGCCGATAGTTTTCAAGTGCTCTGGCAGGACACATCCAAACCTATTTTGCCTTTTGCAAATGCGGAACAGAGCTTTAAAGGAAGTCTCAACCAGGTTTGGATTTTATCTGGGGGGGTGGGGGGGTGTTTGTTGTGCTTCATGTGCCCTGAAACTTTATATTGACAGCAAAGGCATTAGCATGCGCTGGTGGATATCGTTATCTGCAGTCTGTGCAAGATGGAGTTTTGTGCAGAACTGGCTTTCTTTCATTAGTAAAACCGTGCTGGGTGTCAGCAGGCTGCCCAGTATTTAAAAAACAGAAGAGTAGTGCACCCTGGGTGCCCAATTGGTCACGTTGTTTCTTTTGTTTAATTCAGTATATATTTTGCATGACGAAAGTCATTTTTGGAAGTTTTCCTAGCAGCGGGTGTCATTGTGCTCCTTTGTGAGATTTGGATATTAGCATTTGATTTTGCTTGCCATTCTGTGTTTCCTGCTTTATCTCTCTCAGCAGTAGTGTGTGGGCTTTTTTTTCTTTTTCTGTTTGCACATAATCACGAAAGACCTTGAGGCTTTTGCCTGATGAGTGCAAGGCTGCCGTTTTCGGGGGCTTGGGTTCGAAGGGGCAGGCTCTCTGTCTTTCTCCCCCCGGGAAACTTTTTCCCAGAGGACTGGGGCTGAACTGGATGGCTCATCTGACTCCTTCGGCCACAATACCCCCACTGTAATTTCACTCTAAATCTCTGACCTTATGGGTGTCCCCTTTCTTAAAGGGAAAGCCTCACTGCAACTAATACTAACTCAGCCACAGTATTTTCATTCAAGAAAAAAAAATACTGCGTCATTATGTATTGTGGTCAGGGACTGGGCAGCTGTTTAAATGATCTTTCCTGAAACCAGGGGGACTTACGCCTGTCTTGGTTGAGGTGTCATTCCTGTAAAGAGATCAAAAGCAACAGCGATTCAACTCCTGCACTCTAAGGATGCGTTAATGTGCTCTTCTTCTGGGTTGCCTTTCAGATATGCCCTGTGTGCAGGCCCAGTATGGCCCCTCCCCACCTGGCTCCAGCTATGCCACACAGACCTATGCCTACCCCGGGGACTACAGCTCTGACGTCATGAACCCGGACTACACCAAGCTGGGCATGGATCTGGGAGGCACCGAAATCTCAGCTGCTGCCGCCACCACCTCCCTGCCGAGCTTCAGCACCTTCATGGACAACTACCCGAGCTACGAGCTCAAGCCCTCCTGCCTGTACCAAATGCACTCCACCCAAAGACCGGTCATTAAAGAAGAGGAGGCTCCCTACCCTCCCCCGCCGCCCTTGCCCCTTCCACAGTCAGAGGACGCCATTCCCAGCACCTCCATGTACTTCAAGCAGTCGCCCCCCTCCACCCCCACCACGCCAGGATTCCCGGTCCAGCCGGGGGCCTCCTCCATCTGGGACGACCCCCACAGCCTGCCCCCGGTGCCCCAGACCTGCATGGGCTCCAGCAGCCTGATGGATTCCGGCCCCCTGAAATCCAGCCCTCGCTTCCCCCTCTTCTTCAAGCAGTCCCCGCCCCACGGCGGCGGCGCCGGGGACCGCATGTGCTACGAGCCGGGCCTGGGCCTGCCCCTGCGGCCCGAGAGGTCGCCCTCGTCCTCCGCCCCCTCCTCCGCCTCGGCGCATCCGCAGCAGCCGGGCCTGGAGGCCCACCTGTACCCGCTCCACCTGAGCAAGCCCAGCAGCCTGCACTTCTCGCCCCTGGCCATGGGCCAGGGCCCCCCGCTGCTGGGGGAGGGCAGCTTGCCCTCCCCGCCGGGCCGCACCGTCCCCTCCTCGGGGGAGGGCACCTGCGCCGTCTGCGGAGACAACGCCGCCTGCCAGCACTATGGCGTCCGGACCTGCGAGGGATGCAAAGGATTCTTCAAGGTAACGGAGGTGCCGCCTCCCCCTCCGCTTTCACCAGCTTCTCTCGCGAGGGGCCCGAGCCAGGCCTGCGGCGCTGCGGCGCGGGTTTTTTTAGTTGTCGGCGTAAAAGCGGGACGGCCCGCGCTTGTCGCTTTCCTCTTCCTCTTGCCCGCGCTGTTCCCTTTGGCTAGATCAGCAGGACGGTGTCCCAACGCGAGGCTCTGGTGGTGCTGTATCCGGGCGGTAGTTTAAAGGGGAACTGCAACACTGTTTTAGTATTTCAGGGTAAGAATCAGCATCGAAGAATGCAGTTCAAACCGCAATAAAAGTAGCACGTATGCAGTGACGTGTAAAACTTCCAGTTTACATCACCAAACGGGCGAAATTTCCAGGTACGCGCAGTGCCATGTTCTGCGATTCAGAACGAGGCAACGAAACCTCCGGTGATGTGTTGCGGCCCTACGACATTGTAAACAAACAGGCTTGTGAAGACATCTCTTTGAATCCAATAGAAATATTGCTTTCGAGATGGTCTGAGCCGACAAATACAACTCTCTTGTTAACTCTGCATGCAGATCACCTTTCTGCGGTGAAATGTCTGCTGCCCAACCCGTACTTAAACGTCACATCCCATTAGTCGATATGGTGACTAGTGAGCAGGCAGGGTGGCATCACGTTGCAATTCGTGGGAACATGACGACTTTCACAAATTCCCGATTTTGTATTTATGTCGAAATTTGTAAAAATGTTCCAGCACATCAATGAATTTATTCTGTTACTGAGATTTGTAGCCGATCAAAAATTGTGACCGCAGTTCCCCTAGTGTCGCTCCTGTTGGCAGGCTGAACAGGAGCTGTATCTCACATGTGGACTCAAAGGCAGTAGATATGTGCGTGTTTCCCACAGTCAGGCTGCATGTGTGGTACAGCCGCAGGTGTGTGTTGATCATGCCGCCAGGCTCTGCAGTGTGTACTGTTCCCATGACAAAGCCACTGTTAAATGAGTGAGGATTTGTGTGTTTGTTTACTCTTTATTATGAAGCAGTTTGGGCTTTCTCACAAGACATACAGTTCAGAAATGTGTGCTTTCCATCGAAAGTCTAAACAATTCAGCAGTATGTTTTAGGCATGGCAGTAATCCAATTAAGATGCAACGTTTCTAGTGTAATAGCGGAGTAATTAAGTAGCTAAGAGCCCAGTTGGAACCCTGAGTAGACACCGCAGAAGGAGCCCAGACAGTCTCTCTCTCTCACAGAAATGCATCAAGTGCTCTCACTGATCATCATGAATTGGAACTCTGGGATTTTGCTACAAGTGGTTGCCACGGTAATTGCACAGGTTGTTCCATTTTGTCTTATCCTTACTGAGTGAGAAAAGTGAAATATCCTCTCTGTGCTGGTCTGATTTCTTTCAGTGGTCTGATTTCTTACACGGGGCACAGATGCTTGTCAGAGTTAATTATTTTGACCAACAGGTAGTTTGTGTTTGCTGCCGTAGAAATGAGGATTGCTGAATAATGTTGATGTCATCGTGGACAAACCAGTTTTGATGTTGTGCTCAAGCATGAGATGCAGTCATGTAGAATTACTGTGCCTTTCGTCACTGAACGCTGAATTTTTAGATGCCCATAAGAGAGATGCTCGATTGTTGCTCTTCAGCAATGTGTCTGTCTGCCTATTTCTTCCCTTAAAACAGTTTAACCCCATGCAAATGTATTGATGGTTACTTCAGTTTATGTACAGCAGCACAAAATCTGACTACTTTATTCTGTATATATTTTTCAAAAATAAGAATTTGTCAATCAGAGAAAAATTTGTGAGTGTCACGGGAAGCTTTTATCTTCACAGTAACATTCTTAGAGGGTAAATTGACAAAAAAAGCTCAGTGTTGTAATTGCTAAAGATTCAGGCTGGTAAGGTTAGTGTCAGGACACTAGTTGTTTCAGCCAGTACATTTTCATCTTGTCTTCATGACGTAGACAGCACTGTCGGGGTTGTCGAAAATGGGCTCATTATTTGTCTGTGGGGAATTTCGTTGCATAAACCAACACTCGTGCAAACAAAAACTAATACTAAAATGGTGCTCCACATAGTGTCCCTCATGTACTTTCCACAGAATCAGTGCACCCAGAATTGCAGTTTTCAGAAACATGTTCATCTGAAAATGATCTTTGAACAGCTGTGATTTTGAATTACATTTTGTCTGTGATTTTTTTTGAAAGAAACCAGAAACTATAATTTTTAGTCATGTGAAGTGCAGTAAATGCACTGGAAATTTCTAAACTTTCAAAGGATTTTTGAAAGTTTAGATATTTCTGCAGTTTTTAAAAAACTTCAGATGTCATTGCTGTGTGTCTGGGGTGGCTAAAAAAACTCTGTTGAGCTCAACTGAAACAACAATTCCATTGCTAGACTGACCAGCATAAAGAGACCATGTTAGAGCGATTGGACATATTCTATAGGGGCTCAGGCATTTTCTTTAAAGAATATGTTTGGCAAAAGATCTAAAACAAAACAGACAAAATGAAGACAAAAAAGACTTTTAAAAAGCTGAGACAGTGTTATCTAAACATATCTGAATGACATTCTTTTATTTTAAAGAATAAAAAATGTCCCAATTTCATTTGTGAATTCACTTTGAAATCAGCATTGATATAATGCAGGAATAGAATTAGAATAAAATCGTCCAGAAATCCACATCACATTTTTTAATTTCTCTTATTTGGTAGCGGGGACGTATAATTTCCTTACACCTCTTTTGTATGTGGGGAAAAAAGGAGGATGAGGATAATTGAATAATGCCCATGGTCTTGCCAAATAAATTAGTCTTTTTCAATTAGTTTTACAATTTGTCTTTATTTAGTAATTAATAAAATCAGGGCCCGCTGGGCCTCTGGGCATGGTTGCCCATTACTGTAATTTGCTGTGCTGTCGACACCAGTCGTCAACACTTCAACATCTGTCAGTGTTTTTACAAACAATGGCAGAGATTGCGAACAAAAAAGCGTGGTTTAACCCCAGAATCATTTAACTGTGCAAAAATCATTGTTTACTAATTAATGCCGCGGCTTATACGAATGAAAAAGAAACTAAGCACATGTTCCATCTTTGACGTGTACTCACTGTATGGTTTCTGTCTCACAAGGAACCATTTTTGTATGTATGTAGATCCAGGGAACTGTATCAGATCCACATGTTGAAGAACTACTCTAATGAATCACTTGGGCCTGCAGCAAAATACCTACAGAGCTCCTCTGCTTAGTTCTAAATCCTTGTGTTGTCTGTATTTGTTTTGTAACACATTTAAAGCATTTCTGGTTCGGGCAAAAGAATTTGTATTTTGTTCATGACAGGATTCAGTCCTGCCCCCTGGACGGTTTGTGTAGGAATCCTTTCCTAAACCAGACAGAGCTGAGGAAGTGGAGCTGGGGTGCTCTGTAGTAATTTGATCAATAACAGGAAGTAGGTTAGATGGGCAGTCGAGTAGGAGTGCAAGACATTGAGGAAAATCAGCCGCTTTGCAAAATGTAATCAGAATTTTTATTAGTTGTTTTTTTTTTCCCAATATCTGTGTACAATTACTGTTTAGAAATGAAAGATGTGCAATGAACTTTGATCTAATCGCTTGATCAGAGAGAGCCTGTAGTTTGCAAAAACTTTTTTCCCCCATAATTTTAACCTCGGGAAATGCATTTTGTAACGGCTTCTGTTACATATTTTGTATATTTTGTTCTCTTAATAAGAGTTAGAGAAGCACATCCTGGCACTAAACCTTTCAATAGCAGGCCTCTATCAAACGTCCTGCAGGCTACATTGCCTAAGCTGCTACGTTTGGGTTGCCTATAAAGTTTAAAGTCACCGAGTCCGTCTTTTAATCAAAGCCATACTTCTTACTGTTTGAACTGTGTTCAAAAGCTATTGTTCATGAAAATGTCTTTTAAGCCACAGACTCTACTGGCATCACACTAGATGGGCTGAATAACCTCCTTTCATTTGTAATTGTTCTTATGTTTTGTTCACTGGAAACGCGGCTTAAAATAACACATATTTGAATACTGTGCATACTGCAAGTGCGTGGAAATCTTCATATTATTATATTTAGATAAATCTTTCTTTTAAGCTTTGAAACGGAGGGCGCTCTGCAGAAAAAAATAGACATAAGCTGTGCGGTAATGCCCAGGACTTCACAAACACAGCTTATAGTGACTAAATGAATTTCAGCATTGAATTTCAGAAAAAAGAGGGGGGGCACTTCCTTAATTTTATATATAGATATAGTTCGAAAATCAGATAAAATCAGTAACAATAAACAAATTCAATTCATATCTCAATTAGGCAAATTGAAACCGATAAAATAAATGGCAGGGATTGGAAGATAACAAATCGTCTCTCCTAATGAGCCTAACATTAACCCTAACAGTGGACAGAGAGCCAATTAAAATTGACCCACTTCCTTCCTGGAAAAAAAAAAATGCCGGAGAACTTTTAATTAGGAGGAGGCTCTGAGACATTCAGCTGGCAGAGCAGCGAGCTTCTGATAGCCACTGAGGTGGCTGTTAGGGGGAGGGGGGTCTGGGGGCTGATCCCTGCTAGGCTTTTAATTTAAGCCTCACCCATTAGCACATGTTCCCTGTCATGAGTCTGCTCTGTGTGGGTTATCCGGCTTGCTTCTGCTCGCTTCTGGGGGGGGGGCGGCTCAGCACCCGCCCCCAGGCCATCACCACCACCAGCCCGCTGCTGATAATCAGCTCCTCCGCAGATGAAAGGATAATTCAGCCCTTTTACTGCAGCACCGATAGGTGCGGCTCAATGAGAGTAAACAGTTCGCAGGAGAGGGGCTGGGTGTCTTTGTGCCCCACCCGACTTCTGCTTTATTTACAGTTCATATGTGAGGCCATGAAGGCCAGCGCGTTAGTCACAGAGGGGTTGTTTTATTGCCGTGGTGCTCGTTCAGATCATACACCAGAGGCTTCACCTATCTGACTGGAGAGAGCTGCAGACCTCACCTGTCTAGGTGCTCAGA